CGACAGTCCTCAGTTACATCCTCAGAAGCACATTGACCATAAATGGTCCTTTCCCACCTTACTATTGTAATTACTATTGTTTGATGGCTGTCAACATTATACTAATATTATAATATAATTATGCTCTTCATAACAGAATACTTTCAAACTTTATTTCAAAGATACATACAGATATATTTAACTTACCCATATAGGCATTTTTTTCATTTTGTGTCACATGATGCCCTACAGATTACTCATCAGTCAATTATAAAAAAAATGGGATTTGATTTCTCCTTGTTTATCCTGTATAAAGATCAGTCAGTCTGAATATTATTGGTCATATATGTAGTACATCCTAATTCTTTTTCACTAATACTCTTCATTCTGCTGGCTCTGGGTCTGGCCCATCTTCTACAAATCAACTTTTGTGCTCAGAATAGATTTCTACATTATCTTCCTCCTGTGACACGTCCTCCTCTTCTAGATCATAACATAGCTGTTTCAATCTCTTGTATTATTCGCTGGGAGGTTCTCTGAGCACACAGCCTTTTGCTCATGTTGCTGGATTCCCCTTACAACGTGTAAATGTGAAGATGACAGTGATGGCTGCTCCACTATGTATCAGTGATAAGAGGAAAGAGATCTGTGATTTCAAGATTTCATCACAATTCTTTTTTTTTTTTTTTTTTACTCCAATTAGTCTGTTTTCATGCAGTCCCTACCCTTTTATAACACAATCTGACACAGTGAAAATGCATTTATGTTCTTCACAAAAAATATTGTTTTTCTGAAATAGTATAGTATTAAACAGTTAAACCTGACAGAACATGAAGCTTCAAGTGACACAAATAGCTAAAGAGGCCTTATGCAACTATCAATTTGGCATGCAAATCCACTAAACCTGACTGCTTTGCTATGTCTAATTTATAGTAAGTCTTATATCGTAGAGATATCTGATAATGCAGGCACTTTTGGTTTCACCAGTCCAGGTTTTGAGGTTGCTGATATTTCTGCCTTAATTACAATTATGGTTAAGAGCATTTTCTTTGTGGGATTCACACCATCGAAAAAGTACATTTACAAACACAACATCAACATGTTTTTACGGAATTACTCTGGATAATCCACTGAGCACTAAGTCTTGTTTACAGCATGGTCTAACCAACATTAACACAACAATCAAGGGCAATACTGAAAATACAGGACAAAAGGGTAAGATATACTGTAATGAGCCATCCCACTTTTTTCTCTTACGCAGCTGAATTCTCACTTGATACCTCCTCACTACAAACCTTCCTCACTCAACAAAAGCCACTTGTTGAGTGGCAAAAAGAATGGCTCCAGAAGATTTAGGAGCCCAAGTTATTATACTTTATTTTAATAAATCATTACAGCAGCATTGTCCACCTACCTAACTAAGAAATAAGGCTTTGCAAACTCACAAGAGAAGTTGAGTCTCATTTGTTTAAGGTGATGTGATAGATGAGCTCTCTATTGATTTTGCAGCAAAAACCTTTAAGATATTATAAATGAATGCAGTGTTTCTAATCCAATTTGCCAATTCATTGGTTTTAAAATTTGTAAGATTGAATGTACAAATTAGAGTGTCCATGGATACAATTAGTATTCTCAGTGTTCTCTAGAGTTGCAAGGAATATTCAATGGGTTTTATTTCATGTCATATCAGAAGACAAGACTGACTTATGGTCAATACTAATAAGGACTACATCCACAGCTCCACAATAGCACGGCTGCAAAGCCTAAAAAACTAAATATGGGTTTCAGTTTATGTCTCCAACTCCAATTCTTTCTGTGTGGATTCTGAATGTCCATAAGTATTTCCACCTGCTGTAATGGGTGTTATTCTGTGTTAGACTGTGATTGATTGGATCTGTCTATCTGTGGTTCTGCCCAATAAGCCTTTTTCATAGCAGCCATTTCGACTTGTCATTAGTAAAAGTAGGAAAAAGTAGGAAAAGTACAAGTGTCTTAACTTAAAGTTCAGGATGTAACTGTGCATATGTCTATAACTCAAAATACTTTGTCATAGTGCAGCTGCAGTGTGGTAAAACATCCTGGAAATGGATGAAGAGATCACAATTGGAAAAGTGCAGGAACTTGAAAGAAAAAAATAAACTCTGATCTAAATGAACTCTAAAAAATAAAATGAGAAATTAAATGAGAACAGGTTCTGAGGACAGAGAAGGTCTTCATGTGACAGCAAAAGGAGGAAATACAGCTAGCAATCACTTTTATAAAGTTATCCCATTACTGTCAACAGGCTTATGGGTCAATGGACACATTTAAAATGACAATCAAATAAAGTACTGGACCCTGAGTGCTTTGCACAGCATCCAGATAGGAAAGCATACACTTGGATGTGTGCATCTCTGTGTATTTTAGTTTATCCGTGTGTGTGTGTGTGTGTGTGTGTGTGTGTGTGTGTGTGTGTGTGTGTGCGTGTGTGTGTGTGTGTGTGTGTTTGTGTGTGTGTGTGTGTGTGTGTGTGTGTGTGTGTGTGTGTGTGTGTGTGTGTGTGTGTATGTGTCTGTGTGTTTAGAAAGACGTTTGATTTCTCGGTTGACTCCTGAGCTTGCAACACTTCAACCCATCATTTCATAATTGCCACTTAAAACCAGTGGCAGGGAAGAAAGAAAGAGGAGGGAGGAGACAGAGGTAGAGAGAAAAACAGAGGAATTCATTGGTATGAGAGGGGCCGAAAGACAAAGAGAATAACAAGAGACTGACAAAACGTCTTAAATCAACATAAACAAGTGATTAAGATATGGATGAATAATTATTTAAACCTCCTCCCCTGAAAGAAAATGTAATTACTGTATTACTGAATACATGAATAGAATGATATTGTCAGATAAGAAGTTTAAAAGGCAGAGAGACAATATATTGGAAGGAGGAACACGGAAAGAAAAAGTCATGTGTGAAGTGAGGTTAAACATCCAAAGTTACAAGAAAAGAGAACAGTTAGCTACAGAGTGCTGAGGTGCATAATCACATTAGTTTTTTTCCCCCATTGGGTCAAGAGTGCGACAGCCCACAATAACAATATAACCGTAGGCTGAATTGAAACCTGTTATTGAGAATACCTTGACTTTTGAAAATTGAAAACTTGTGTGCTTAATGAATTTGTTCAACAAGTTTCCAAAATGTTTTATGAAACTGCACTTAATTCAGTAAAAGTGTCCTCTAAAACCAGCAAAATATTAAAGTGAAATAAAATCATGTGTGTGGAGTTGTCAGTAACATATTAGGTTGTAATCATCAGGCACACATAATTTCTCTTGGGAACATACAGTTTAACGTAAATAGAATCTAGTTTGAAACATGAAAGTGATAATTAAGAATTTCACAACACTGAAGACTCCAGAGATTCTCTTTAAAAACAATATTATTTTATTTTGTATTTTATAGGTATTGTTATATACATGGCATAATTTGTGCTTTTTTATTATCAAGAATAAAACCATAAGGGAACACATCAGAAAATTAAACTTTAAACCAGGTTTGAATTGTTCTTTTTTCAGCTGGATATACTGAGAGTTCTACAAAACCAGGAGAGAAGGGGAGGAAAAAGACAGAAAACTAAATAGATAGATAGGTAGATTGATAAATACATAGATTTTTCCAGAGACACTTGCAGATGGTCCACTGAGGGTAGTGTGAACGTTCAGACTGTGATGTGCTTTTACCAACAGCAGCAAAGGCACCTGTGTATCACTTTGTTTTAAAAAAAGAAAGTACGCCTCAGGGCCTTAATCCAGTTGAGTCCATACAAATACAACTATAATCCATCCAAAATTTCATTCAGGGGGATCTCTGCCACGCAAATTAGCTGATTTCCTATGATTTCCAGCCATCACAGAGGTGGGGCGCTAGATTAGCCAGCTCGAGGCCATTCACATTGAACCCCCCCATCTGAGACTGATTGAATATATAAAAAATAATCTCCAAAATAATATTTTGGCCTTCTTGACTTTTCATGCTTAGGCTGCAGAACTTTTGAAAAGGGGGATAGTGTGAGGGCAAAGGGACATTTTTCCTGATATTTGAGTTTGGGAAGGCCAAGGGAGATTAAAGAGTAAAGAAACAACAAATATGATGTCTAGACAACATCAGGATATGCCATTTGGTGAGTGATTGGGTAAGAGATAACAGACAAGAAGATAGGAAATCTTTAGAAATGTAACTGCTGGAAAGAAAATAGAGAGTGGTGAGGAGGCTGAGAAAGGAGTAATGAGAGGTAAAAATACTGCAGGAGAGAGGGAAGAAAAGAGAGAGAGCAGAAATGTCTCTCAATGACACCGAAAACAGATATGACTGAGAACAGCAAGGTCTTGGCAAGAAGAGCAGAAAGGTTATGCAAAAAGGGTGAAATAAAAAGTCTGACAGACAGGGAACACAGGATGAAAATGTATAATACTCCATCACAAGACCAAAATTGGTCTGGCCATTGCCCGACTGTTGCCTCTGCCTGACTGGTGGTTTGGCCCCATACCATAAAAAGATTTGTCTGCTATTGCACCCACCTCAGCCTTAATTTAACTTAAGACTTAACTCACTTTCCACCTCTTTTTATTATTCCATTTGCTTTCTGTCTCTGACAAAAAAGCATCATATGCCCAGATAGAATGACTCCCGAGAGATGTAAACCAAAAATATGTGGGAACAGACTGTGAGGCGGAGAAACTGCATCTGGTACAGCTGTGATGTCTAGTAAAAATGTTTTTAAAACCAGTCCAGTGGAAGAAAGCAGATAGAACAATGTTTTCTGTTTTTTTTAACCAGACCGGTGGAAGAAAGTGGATAGGCAGAGTTACATTTTCTTTACCAGTCCAGTGCAAATTGATGCATAGACAAACCAAAATAACTAGAGCATAGAGAAAAGATAAAGGAGAGCAGCAGCAAAATATGGAAAGATAAAGGATTACAGATATGTTGAAAGTAAAAAGAACAGGATATCAAGAGAAGTAGAATCAAGTAAAAGATTTGATCTAAAGAAAAGATAAAAAAACAAAAAGGCCAAAAATATATGGGGAAAAAAGCTGGTGAATGCAAGATTGAAGCACATTTATTTGCATTAGTTATCCTATGAAAACTGGGGTTGGAGAGCATTTTCACTACCAGGTGTAGATTTATGTCGAAGGGTCACACGTCAACGTTTGGGTTAAAGGACTAGAGGGGGGAGAGGGGGAAGGCCTTTCTGGTATAGATTGGTCCGTTAGCTAGCCTTAGCTTCCCACTAGACTAAACCATTGTCTGATTTACTTGTTAGTTACCCGCAGGGCTAAACCAAGGTCCACACTGATGTCTGTTAGCCAACTGAAAGGTTAACCCGGAGTCCTTGTCCGTGTCCCTGCCAGCGAGTTTGCAGTCCATCATCATATCTGTTTATCCTAACAAAAGCAAGGGGGCGTGTTTTCCAGGACGTTTTGGTCATACAGTGAACGCACAACTCACTTTTTATTGTAAGAGAGTTTGTTGTTCTCAGGAAACCCCCAAATATAATCCTTGTGACTTTCAGAAACCATCATGGCAGCAATTAAACGATGGCAAAGACAGCCAATGGGAGCCTCAGAGGGAGACTGTTCTTCCGTGTTCATGAGCAGTCATAGCATCAAACCCTCCAGCTAACCTTGTTGGCTTTTCCTTCCCACCAAGTCATCCATCCTCCTGACCAACATTAGCTACTGACCAATCCATATTATTTGGTCAATGAGCTGGCAATAGCTTCTCACCAATCTCTAGTCCAGGTTGAGTCAGTCCTTTAGCTGGCTTCACACCAAGCCACAGTCCACGTCGATTGGTCTGTTAGCAAGAATTAGCTTCCTGCCGAGCTGTAATCCATATGAGTCGATTGGTTAACGGACATGAACTTCTCACCATGCTACAATCCATATTGATTCGGTCTGTTAGCTGGCATTAGCTTCCCACCAAGCCATAATCCACGTTGATTCAGTCTGTTGGCTAGCTTTAGCTTCAAACTCTAATAGTCCATATGTCCCGGGTGTCTGTCAACCTCCCACTTTCAGCTCCAGAGGCAAAAGTTACTGGTGGTTTGGCAGGTAGAGCCTTTCTCAGCCGGGGACAGGTAGAGCTTGCCGTTAGCGCAGGAACAAAGCTCGTACACAGTCTGTTTGGTGTAGGTGGTACCGGCTGGTGCCCCCTCCAGGGGGTCCACAGCACTGCCGAGGGGAATGTTGCCCAGCCTGATGGTGTTGGCGTCTAGAAAGATCTGTGGACATAATAGAGAGATGATTCAGAAAAACTGCTATTAAAGAGCAATTGATGGAGAACAGAAGAAAGACCAAAAACAATAAAACAATACAATTACACATAAAACATGGAAATGGGTAGACAGAAGTTGATGTTACAGCTGTAGGGGACTGAGCTCACATGGATTTTCTTGGCGCCTGAAATAACACAGAAAAACAGAAGGGGAGAAAGTTGTGTTTTTGAAAAAAATGAAAAGAAACTGGGGTTGTGGATACAGCGAAAGCGAGAACACATTGCCGTAGGGGATGACTATACTCTGTGGTCGACTGGGGTTGTCATCAAGAAGGATTTACGGAGACAGAGAGGGAATTTCTATTTAGAACTGGTCTCTTTTGATGAAGAGGCAGAGTGGGAGTGAACGAGGCAGAGGGCAAGATAGGTGAAGAGAAAAGCAAGGGAATTAGTGGGAGAGGAGTGAAGGGAAGACAAAGAGACAGGGAAAGACAGCCACAAGGGAAAGCAGCTAGGAGAAATACACACTGCAAACAAAGCCAACTTTTTCACCAGCAAATTTGATGCAATATCATATTTATTATCTTGCTTTACCGCACACAAGTGAATCTGCCACACTGATATGATCTCTCCACAGGTTTTAAAACAGTCGTTTTTGGGATAATTTCCTAAAAACAATTGGCTATATTTAAGAAAAAGGCAAAAAGAAAACATTATCCTAAAGATAAAATCAAGCAGCATATTAGTACACCTGATCTCAGACACAAGTGCAGTTATCCCTTTGTTCATTTGTGCACCGTTTGGACTTTAATGTATGAGTGTAGTTTTCACAGACTTGATGTCAAAATATTGGAGTCAGCCTGTAAAAAGTTTTTTTTTTTAACGATTTCCAATGCAACTAGGCCTTCAAGGCACTTGGAGGAGTCTCAGTCAGTTTGGGCTGACAGGGGGTCAAGGGGTTTTGCTTTTAGATGGTGGCTAATGAATTTAACTGATCGTGTGCCCAGTCAAGTTTATCGTAAATTATTGGGAGTGAAAACACCTGCAATGCACAAACATTGACAGAAGGTCACCCACTGAAGAACTCACTCTTTCTCATGACTTTTTTAACAATAAAGAAATATAAGAGGAGGTTGGATAGGCACTTCTTGAACTTTACATTTCTTCAGCCAGAAATTCTCTGGAGACACATTCATCCCTTTTTTTAGGGAAACCTGGCCAAAATGACAGAACATAGAGTAGTTACCACATTACTGGTTAAATACATAATACACAGAGAATTGGAAAAGTGGAGGGTCAGTGAAGGCCCACAACGATTTTTTTTTTTTTTTTTGCCAAGGGCCCTCTGTTGGGTTCTGTTGGGTAATCCAGTCATCAGAAGATGAGAAGAATTCAGAGCAGAGCAAACATGAGAGAAGCCGAGACAGAATCAGTATATCTGTCTTAGAAAGGAAAGAAAGCGAACTAAAATTACAGTTACTTTTTAAAGTAGATACAACTGTCAATGAGAATAAGAGACTAAAAAGGATGGACAACTAAATGAAAGCGAAAGAAGATGAAATATATGGACAGAGAGACATCAGTTATTACCTGCCGCTTCTCTTTTCCTTTTACTCCAAATTATCTCTCCTCCTTCCCCCCATTTCTACCCCCTCACTGGCCTCCATCACTCCTGACCCTGCATTCCTTCAGTCCACTCCTCTCATCTTCAGATTGATACAAGCTGAGTTTCAAATGAGAATCATTACACAATCTTGGTTTCTATTGACTGCTTCGCCTGCTTATTTATTTACTCTTCAATCTTCACTGTTCAAGGAAGCACTGCTCTCTTGCTTTCCCTCTCTCTCACACACACTCACACACCCCAAGGCCGACGATAATCTCAACAGACATCTGTATCCCCATTATTCATGTTCTTCATTTTAGATATAGGGAGAGGGGAAGTGAAAAGTGTGCAGAAAATAGCTATGAGTGCAAAAAGACAGGGAAAAAAGAGAGGAGAAAAGAGGGGAATGAGCGAGTCAGATGAAAGGATGAGAAACGAGAGAAAATGTCATATCAGAAGTGGCTGGAGGAGGATGGGGGACATAAAGAGAGGGAGATAAGATGAACGAAAGAAAAAGGAGAAAAAGGATTGAGGGATTCAGACACCCCAACAGCGAGGAACCAATTAGTATAACTAATGATTTCACATTGGCTGACGGGGCACATCTCCATCTGTATAAACAACATCCACACATATAGCCACACACACACACACACACACACACACACACACACACACACACACACACACACAAACTGTTTTTGCATGATGGAGCAGAGCAGCGGTATGCTCATGTTGCCTTTAAATATCTGTGCAGCTAAATGCACTACATCTATTAGCCATTAACTTGAAGATACAGTAGATAGGCAGGTAACCAGAGCAGTTACAGACTGAGGTAGCCAGGTGGTGTCGTTTCTAATAGCCCATAGGTCGTCACTCTGTGAGATACTCAAACTCTACCAGGTCTCTTGTATTATTACTTTACATTCCTCCAAATATATTAGTGATAAAACATTTTTTTGATTAATTAATTGACTGATTGATGGGAATTAATGGATACAGTTTTGATGATCAGGTCAGATCCACACTTACCTTAATTCTCTTGACATGGGGGTGATAGCAGGTACTAATCCTATTTTAAACATATTATTTTATACAGTATCTGCTTCCCAGATGGGACTAACATCACCAAACAGAGCATGCAGTGCTGAAATCAGTCAACCTCTATAGGGAAATAAATCGCATTCAAAATATCTTAAAAAGCACATTACATAATTTTCATTGGCGGTAAAAGCCTTACTGGTAAAAAACTAACAAAACCAAAAACATCACTTTATGTCTTGTTCGTTTTGGTGAACTTCAAAGGGACCGACAAAACTACTGACTTGTTTCAGCTGGATATAGTAAACCATGATTCATTTGTGAAGCTTTAGGAGGAACACAGGAGTGGTAGGTGCAAAGTTAGTACAACCAATAGTCAGTTGTTCATAATTAGGAAGGAGATAAAGACACATGTTCAAAAATGCAACAATTTTCCATTAAGCTAATTAGATGAATTGTTGGCCACACCTTTATAGACACATTACAATGATCATGGAGGTATCTACTGATAAGAGTAAATGGCACAGGCTCATGTTACTATAGATGTAAAAAGCTACCTTACCTGTGCATTATCTTCATAATTAGTTTTTTTAGTTGCACCACAAAATTCAGACACAAGGTTTTGTTTTAGATCTTCAGTTATTAAATAATAACCCAATCAAAAACAAAAATTGGCAGCATACTGAGCATCTGCACATCTCATTAGCCTGCCATGCCTATTGGTTTTAGTAGGCAGCAGTAATATTGACAATAACACACTTCAAGAGGTAGTAAAAAACGAATATGTGTACATCTCTCCCAGTGTGCCGGACAAAGGAAAATACCACACTACATCTCTAAATGTCAAGGTATGCCTTTAACAGGTCTCTGGTGCACACCTGTCATCTTCCCTTTGGCTCCCCAATAAAAGCTGCCAGGGCTCAGTTACAGCCTTACAGAGGAAAAGACTCAGTCGCGGTTGGCAACATATCCCCAATCTAATTCCAACAGTCTGCTTACCATAGCAACAAAAACCTACAATGAAGTTGGGCATGGCAATGGGATGGGAACATGAGGAGATTTCAGTGCATGTTTATGTGAGGAACTGCCAATGAAATTACTGTTTTTTCTTCTATAACATTGGTAACATCATTGCAACAAACCGAGGGAGGGGGAAGAGGAAGGAAGGACGGAGGGAGGGGAGAGAAAAAAGTAAAGATGGAGGTAGAGAAGGTGGAGAGTAGTAACCAGGAGGGAGGGAGAGGATGCTGATTATGGGATTTTAGAGAGTAAAGTGAGGAAGAGATCGATAGGAAGAGGTCTAGAGGTGAGAGGAAGGTTGGTGGAAAGAAAAATAGGAATGGATGGATGCTAGGTAGAAGGCAATAAGGAAAAGTAGAGGAGAGGTGGTGAATGGACAGGCAGAGGGATGGACAGAAAGAAGGAAGGGAAATAGAGGAAGGGGAGTGGAAGTCATTTGTCGTAGCTTAAGGTCGGATTAGCGCTGACATTCATCCCAAATGAAAGTGTCTGTAAGTATTAGGTCAGCTTGTTTTTATCAGTATGTGAGGGTCTGTACATGTGAATGTGTTCGAGAGTGAGTTTGTGTATCAGGACATATGTCTGTGAATATAATATTGTTTGCAAATAGGTATGAAGAAGTGCTTTTGTGAATGAGTGGATTGTATTTACATTTATTCAGGGACATGCAAACATTGTTTCTGCATGTGTGTGTTTGTGTTCGTATGATTACATTGTTTATGTTCTCCTATGATATGTTTTTATCTTTCAAACGTATAAGCAAAACAAGAAGTAGGCTCTATTGTTGGTTTTACCCTGGTAATGGTAGTATTAATACCTCTAAACTGCAAAAAATAATATTATTACTGTGGCAAAAGAAATAGACAAACTAGTAGGCCATACACTTTATTTAACTTAAGCTACCACCACCTTCCAAGCAGGACATGTAACACTGTCATTGAATAAACTCCAAACTGATTCTCAACACTGGACGCATAGATAGTAATGACATGCAGCTAAGTTAAAAAATGAGTTTAATTAAACAGCAGTAAACATACTGCCTTTCCTGTGGCTGTGTCAGTTGTCTACTACTCTCTCCTCCGAGCACAGGCAGCTCCAGCACATACACTCACACACAAAGAGCAGAGTGGAGGAAAGAAATAGCGTGAGAGGTGACGATGGCTGCACCGTGCAAAAGGTTTTTGAGTGAAAACAGCTGTATGACAGCTGACGTAAAACAAAAGATCAAATCGGATCAATAACAATAAAGCTCGACATAGCCAATACCGATCAGTAAAAAATGCCTGTTGGATTCTCTCGAGTAAAGACAGACGAATTATGCCTAAAAAAAGCATGATTGT